ATCAAATGAGTATTCTAGTTGCTCACTTGAAATCAATCAACATCTTTTGAAGTCCCTCAGGGTACCTGCCAGGACACACTACAGATGAGAAATGAAATCTTTGATAGGTACTTTTTTACTTACTATTCCACAACCATTTTTGTCTCAAGTTCACTTAAAAGGCCTTATACACTACATTCACCTTATTTTTAAGCATTCCATAATAAACCATTAATTATCTCCAGTTAAACTACTCCTCTCATGACACTTGCACAGAAGTCATAAGACCTGAGAATAAGCACAGGAAGCAGAATTAGAAAAGAACTTGGGAAACCATCTAAACTAGGCATCCTACTCCAATGACTGTGATACTGGTGACCTGTATCACTTGTTATGATGGACCAAAACAGGTACAAGAAAAACACTCAATGCTGTATATCAAACTCAGGTAACAGCAGATCTAGACCACCTTCTGCTACAAAGGAGCATTCACAACAGCCATGCCTGCTCTTAGCAGGGCCTCATCAGTAGGCATCCCATAACCTTTTCTGACAAGCTAAAAAAATGGCCCTCCTGAGGAGTGCCATCAACAACCACTCCAAATCACTTCCACTTTTTATTTTATCCAAAGATAACTCTTTCAGATGGATTTTTTTTTCCCAAGCAAAGTGACAGGAACACAATGAAATCCTTGGCTTGTTTAGAGTTTCATTTATAGTTCATTTATGAACTTCTGACTTTGTTAGCCTACTGAGTTATTTTGCTTACCAAAGGCACAGTACCAATACAATCTAATCTGTGAAGACTAACATTAACACATATGGCAGGGACAGCCAGACCCAGAGAGATCAGCAGCTCACAGCAGTGGATGAAAATACCACTCATGGACACATTTTGAATGGAAGAACAACAGTTCCCTAAACAGTCTGTCTAGCAAAGCATCTCTTTACATCCGGTCAGTGAGAACTTGTTCTCTGTTTGGAGGCACAAAGATTTATTCAAACTAGGTATTATTTTTTACTTAACTCAGAAACCAAAGGAAATAATACTGCAACAGAATTAAACAGCCTATATATATATACATACATATATACATATATATATATACACATACACACTTTAACTTACAAGAATTCTGTACCACAGCTCCTAATGTGAATTCAGAGAAACTGTTTAAAATATAAACTCTCCTCCAGAAACATGAGCTCTATATTGCTCTATATTCACTCACAAAGAACAGAAACGAGTGAGTTTCCAACATCACTGGTTAACACAAATGATAAAAAACCCCACAAGCGAGGAAAAAAATACAAAAAACACCAAACAATCAGAAAAACCCAAAACCAAAAACACCAACCAAAATCCTCCTAATAACATATATGCAGAAAGATCTTCTGCAATTTTATATGGAAGATCACTTTTATTACTTATTATAGTTAGAAGAGAGGTGCATAACTTTTAAGGTAAGTGAATTAGTAAATTGAACATACCTAAACCAACAAAGACTTTAAGAGTACACAATGTCATGGAACTTAGACAGTTTTAAGTTATAAAAGGATAAGGTCTTGGAAACAAAGTACCTGCTTCAATTACCTGTTTCATTGGATTACCTTTAGTGTATGTTCCACACCACGTTAAAAACAGTCTGATGTCTTAACTTACACATTTCAGTTATAGTTATCTTCTACCATATTATAAACTGGTATAAAACATAACACATACAGAAGCTTAATATAGTGTTAATATTTATAATTTGTATTCAATCTCGTGGGGCCTAGCACCTTCCAGAAAAACATCTTTATATGGCTATAAGAGCAGATAGAATGATGGTTTTGTCATTAAGCATCAAACATTTGGTAGTGCATCAATAATTCTCTTTAATTTGCTTTACCCTCAGAAGCTGGTGTGAGCTGTTGGGCCCCACAGTGTGCTTCAATAATAGTACATTAAATGGAAAGTATCTATGCCTGGCTGACCATTCTGAAAGCTGTTTTTGAGTGGCCTGAAATCAGCTATTTCGATTCCCTACAGTGTCTTGGCCTCAAAGAGAAACAGATCATTTGTAATGCAAATAATCCACCATCTCTAGAACATCACTCTAGTAGTGAACTACTAGTGGTATGAAAGCTGCGGGCGTAACAAAACCCCAAAATATTGACATAAACCTTCTAGTATTGCTAAAATATATAAACACATACAAAAATATAAAGCTTAGGGAAAAAACCCCAAATCACTAACAATCTTGACTCCAACATTCAGTAAAATACTACAGCAGGCCTAAGCTGGATAATACAGTAACATTCACTCTTAATAGAAAGCTGCATACACTAAAATCAAAGTTAAAATACTTAAAACTTTAGGACATACCCAATAACTGTGTGTCATGAAATATACCATTGTTTACAACCCAGCAAATAAATACTAGAAACTAGGAATGACATATACAGTGTTGCTATTTTAATTCAAAAAGGGAATGTAAATTGCCTGTCATTAAAGGATTTTATTTTTACTTCTCACATTTTACAGCTTCTGCAGCAGAAGTCATGCTCATCTACTTCTTACAGTAAAAACAGAAAGGGTAAATACAGAGAATTTATGGTATTCCAGCAATAAAAAGAAAGACCAAAACTCCTAGTTGCCTCCTACTACTTAGCCCACTACACCTACTCCCAGGGAAAGGAAGACAATTTCTGCTGTAGCGTCTCCTCCTCCATCTAGGCCTTAGCTCTCCACAACGAGCTCCAATAAGCTTAATTCAATAGGCATATGAGAAGATTACACAACAAGCTCCTTAAGCGTTTCAAACACCTGGAGGGGAAAAAAAAAAGTTTTCTTATCTACATAACTGCTAAGACAAGACTCGATGATCCTTGTAGGTCCCTTCCAACTCAGCGTATTCTGCAATTCTGTGATCTCATGGCTAAACACTGGGCATCCGGCAGCCCAAAGACTCTCTGAGTTACTCAAGCAACTAAAGCTACAGCAAACAAAAATAAGGACTTCAGCAGTTATTATAAACCTTAAAAAAAACACAGGCTGCTAAAATGCTTGCTATAACTGCATTATTTTTTACCATTGTAAAGATCGGGGGCAGATTATTTGTGCAGATCCTGCAACAGATATCAGAGCAAAGACAGACAAAAAAGCTCTGTAAGAAAACTCCACCAAAGACCACATATCAGGTTTTGCCTTCAATATATTCCTCCAGAGGATTTCATTGCCTTACTTGAAAACTGACTTTTAAGGATGGTAAATCTGAATACTTAATGCTATGCTTTTGGTTAAGATCTCCCAAGCATATATGACATAGATGGTGGGTGACTGGAAGCAGCAGAGAACACCAAGTGTGAAAAATAAAGAAGCTAAAAGTGTAGTTAAGTATTTGAGATCTGGGAGATCTCAATTTTGAGATCAGGTCAAAAAAATGGAAAAAAACCTCAAACAAATCCCACTCCCCTATAAAAACTACAAAACAAATAAAAAAGCCCCCACCAACCCCCAAAACCTTCATGATTCTAGAAAAGGCTGTTCAGAAAGGAGATAGAAAAACACTCATTTAACAGACACAACACTATAATGACAAAGAAAAAAATACTATTAGACTCATAAGTCAAGGAAACTAAAGCATATCTTATGAAGTACATCAAGTACAGCTACGCCACTCCATTCTGCTGCTGCTCTGGAAATGCTCCAGGCAGTTCCAGAAGTGCACTGTTCCACACTGCATTCAAGGCACTAGATCTGCTCAGAGGAGGAGATTCTGCAACCCTCTGTTTAATAAGCTGCTCTTCAAGAACACCTGAGTTAAAAATTTTGTATCAGTTCCTCAACACATCCCAACCATTACAATGTAGGAAGGCAGCTGAAAGCTTCAAGGCTTCTCACATACCTTGGTGAATACTGTTGTGCCTCTTTTCCAGCTGAGGCTATAAGGAGGGTCCTACATCCAAGTGAGCCACAGATTTATAAACCCCAGAGGCATTTAAGTTTCTGGTGGTTATGAATTGGTCTTACTGATCTTTGGGAAGTGATCTTTTTTGGCCACTCCTGACAGTTTGAAGAATCAATTTATTTTACATGTTAGATACTGAGTTGATACTGTTTGTTACCTTAGAAGTTTGTTTTGATTTTTTTTATACTTGAAATCTCTTTCAAGATCACAAAGCTCGTAATTGTTGGGCAACTATGTGCATGTATACAAAATAGAGCACAAGATAGTGCCATTGGAAGATGTTCAAGTGGACTTACTGACTTTTAAATCTGCAAGTAAGAACCAAGACACAAGTCAGGAATTCTCATCGTAGAGAAAAATCCTTTCCAACATCAAAAAGTTCAATTGTCTAAATGGGAAAGACAAATGTAAACCAAAGCAGCTATTTTGCATAGCTATGCAACTGACATTTTTATCCTGTCCCATAAGGTTCTCTCTTCAGAGTTTTTGTAACAGAGCACTAAAACACAACTATTAGGCCAACAGTAAGTCTCAGGAATATGTGTTTCTGGCCATGGGAAAAGCCCAAACAGGCAACCATTTGCTGGCACGTGTACTAACAGCAAAGCAAAGCCCTGATCCCTGCCTGGCTCTGTGAAAGGCAACTCAGCTCACCAAGACTCCCAGGCAGAAGGAAGACCCGAGCAGAGCATATTCTTGGTGCTGACAATGGAAGGTTTCCCCTTCCTCTTCTTGATTGTGAAGACCCGCATCATTTGTTGCACTAGTGTTTCTCTGACACCACAATGAGCCAATTCAATTTATAATCCCAGCCATTTTTTCTTTTTTAAATGAGACAGGTGGAACTGATTAAAAAAAGCACGTTTATGGATGCAATGAGAAAGCAACACTGGAAATTGCCCTGACAAATATGGAAGAAGAGGTTCACTGATGTAACAAAAACAGCTCTGGGCCAAATGATGGGGCAGGTACAGCTACACTTTAGACTGCTATACAGTATATTCTTCAATACAATTAGTAACTTAGTAGCAGGTTAGCATAGGGAAAACCTAAATCATTATTTACTTACAATGCTGATCACAGTCTACTCTAGCAAACACCACTTGATTCTTATCTGGATACTCTTCCTTAATTACGTTAGAAGCTTCCTCAAAAATAGGATGCAGCATTTGGCTGAAGCGGCACCTGTAAATAGAACAGAAAATCATAACTTTGAAATACTAATTTGAAATATTTTGATGACTAATGGAATATTTCAATCTTTGAAGGAAAAAGAAAAAAAAGAAAGAAGAGTTACTGAAAAAAAAATCACATCTACTTCTAACAATCCCAGTAAATGTCTGGATAAAAATAGATTCAAAAGTAACTTGAATAATTCGGATGCTGAAAAAAGTAATTCTAAATGAATACAGAGTTCAAGATATGCTTCCCTGCTTTATCTGCTTAGGAAACACCATTAATCAATTATAAGCCTTTATGAAATATATTCTATTCAGAAAGTATATTGTTCATTTTTTTCCTGCCTGAATTAGCCTTGGGAAAGTAATTATAAAAATGTAGTAAAGGAAGATACTTAAGACTGTTGAGTTTCAAATATTCACCATCACCTTCAGGAAGGTCAACAATAGAAGTTCTAAGTGTTATGTATAATATTATCGCTCAAGTTCAGTAGAATTTGAGCAGACTGCTTTTTCAGCACTGAGAAAAAGAGAACCCTATGGGTCCCTTCTTTTAGTCATGTTAGATTTTGAAGCAAATTTTCTTTTTGCCCAGGCTGTAGGATTGTAAACATGCTTCAGGGAGTGGCTTTAGGGAGTTTAGGGGTTAACACTAATGCACAAGCCCATTTTTAATACATCAGTGAAATTATTTTATATTCTATCCTTCTAAACCCATGAAAGAATTTCAAATTGAAGATGCATAATGGCACTGTAGAAGTTGTCAGAATGAGACCTTATGGAGCAGACTTTCAATAAACCAGCCTGCACTGAAGCCCACCTGAAACTTAACAGCATCAGCTTGGGGATGCCACTGTGCCTGACACAGAAAACTTCCAAGTGAAGAGGCAAGTTTTGCTCTCAAAATACAAACAGAGCTTAAGTCCATTCTCCAGAAAAACCTGACTCTGGGTAGCACAACTATATGCCACACATTTATGTAGCATGTATATGTTACATATGGCTTCCCTGTCCCTCATTCTTCTCCACCCTTACAGCAGAGTACATGACTGAAACTCATCTGTTCTCATTCAAAAGTCAGGTATATCGCAGTCTGCTACAGTGAGGGGTTATTCCTGAATGCCTACACGTAATGATCATAATTAAGGCTGTAATGTTCTAAAATTACAGTCTACTTTACCATGAATCAACTTGCAAGCACATACAAATCTTTAAATTCACAGTACATCTATTCTACAGAGGATCTCATAACAGTGGGGTTTTGGAGAAGGAACTGTGCTAATAAGGTCCTAAAACAGGATACTTGTTACCTGGCTATATCAAATTTTAAAATATTTGTATCTTCCCTTTATGACAGAAGTATCAGAACATGGGTATTTAGCTACCTTTCTACAGTTTGTCATTTGCAAAATCCAAAAGTCATTTTTGAATGGCAACGCAGACGTCAAATTTCAGTGTATTAAATTTACTCTCCATAGGTTTGCCTTCCTTGCTGATCTTTAAGAAAAGATAGCACTTTTGAAGTAGTACATGATTCACCAAGTATCAGCAGATCACAAATTGAAAATTAAAAGTTTTGTTTATTTACATTTTTAAAAGATAGCCTCTATAGGATAAATCTATACAAAACTGGTAAGAGATTAGGTCCAGTTTCTTACTTAACTAGTTACTTCGTTGCACTATCATTAAAAAGGAGACATTTCACAGGGGTATATTGCTTAAATTAATTCTAACAATGATTCAGGATGCAAGTTGGGTTTTTTTTAAAATATAATTTCAAGTAAACAGTTCCTTCTAAGTATGTCATTCACAAGGTCTAACCAGTTCAGCCCCAAATTCCTTCATTTTACAGTTGCTCAGATTTCATCTCTCAATTATAATTTCTCTAGTTCTCCACTTGCAAGCTCTTTTGCAAGCTCTTACAAATTAGAAAATTACAAACTAGAAAAACAATTGATTTTTTGTGTCAAGTCTTTTTTTTTTTCTAGCACAAACGTATGGGACCAACACAGAAGAAAATGGAGAGTCTAAAATACTCCAATTTTTTCTTCTGATAGGAGTCCTAAATGAAACATAGGATGGAAGAACTGCAGAAGGGGAAGCAATCAGGACATAAACCCAGGAAAGAACTGGTTTGAAAGCAACATACTACTTTATTTTCAATTAGAAAACTATAGCCAAACATGACAGTTTTCAGTAGACAGAGTTTTAAACATAGAAAAAAAATATAACTTACCAATCAGCATAAAAATTAACTAAAGCAACATCTGCATTGTCTGAGAGGAAAGAAAAAGAAAAAAACCCAATGTCACATTGAGAGGCAACTTCTTAGTTCTTTTATCTGAGATTATAAAAATAAGCACAAAAAACTATAAAAGCAAGTATTTCTACATTATTCAGCATATAGCTTAGTCTGCTTGCTAGAAAACTGCTAGGATAAATCTTTTCTGAAATATAATCTATAACAAATGGAAGAGTGATGAAAGAGGCCTTCAGTCAAGTGTTCTATTGACTTTATTGATATATTAAAAATGTAAACTCTTAAGGTATTAAGACACAAAAGAAGTAATTAAGTGACACATGAAATAAAAAGCAATTCTGGATTTAAAATTAAGGTACTCACATCCAGAAATAGTACTTCAGTGTATCTCTTAACCATTAGCTCTATTACTCCTAAGTGTTAAAAAACAGTTAAAAGCTGAAATCTCAACTCTTGGGGTTAGAAGATCGACCAACAGGCAGATTGCCTGTGCAACTTACTCTGGTCAGTCCTTACCTGTCTTATTTGCTAATAAGGATACTAAGGCAAAAGGTAGCAAAGAAATCTTCAGTCCCCCAAAAAACAAAAAATACTAAGAGACACTCAAAAAAAGTGCAATACCACAGGGATACATGTGATGAGGTAATGAAATAATGTTCTCACACATTACTTTTCACATACCAAAAAAAAAAAGAAAATACACCAAAAAAGGGTAAATCTCCTGCCTGAAAATAAACTATGATCTTTACACAATATAACGACTATGCTTTAAATTGATTTTTAGTAGTAGTAGTGGCCCAGACATTGAAAAAAAATGAAATACATACTGAAACTATAGAGTATCACTCACAGCTTTATAAAGCAGAAAAGCTGACAAAGCAGAAAATTGACAAAGTTGCAGAGCAGTTACGTGTGAAGATTAAGATGTTGAAAGCCTGGAGATGATACTATGCTGGTAAAGACACTTTTGTGAAGGCTGGGGAGCAGCACTACAGTTTTGATTAGAATTACAGTGTTAAGATTTTCATTATCGGCAAGGAATGCAAGTGGTTAACAGGTAATTAACAAGCACTGACAAGTTTAGGGTTACCTCCAAGACATTAAGTATTTATTGAAAGCAATCTGATACATTTTAAAAGTAGTTACACCTGGATATATTCCTTTTTATGAATAACATTTTATAAAATGATTTTATATTTTCCACTCCATAGAAGGTATTTACAAACAGATCACATACTACAAAGTACTCCTGTAACATTAGTCAGATTATAGAAGAGACTTTAATAAAAGAGAATAAAGAGGGTTTTTTCCCTTGATGCATTTGAAACAATGTCAAAACTTTTTTTGTGCAAAGACTTGCAAAGGCAAATTGCACATTTTTCAGAGGAAAAGGTTTCAGACAAGGAATACACATCTGTTTAATTTACAGATCTCCTTTCTATGAGCCACCAGAATCAGCACAATGCTTAACCTGAGGAAAAACACAGCTGAATAAGCAAGATACTTAAGGCCCATCACCATGGTTTTCAGTTGCTGCTGCTTTTTGGGGGGAACTTTTAAAATGCCCTCTGGACAGGTTTTGGTTATGTAATCAAGCATTCCCATCTGCAAACCCGATACCAGTTATTTTTCTTAAGACACTTCAAATTCTCCTTGCAAGACATTAGTTCAGACAGCTAATTTTGACCACAGGTATTTAATATTTCTAAGCCAATTGCAACTCAGATATTCAAAGCTAGGGTATGCATATTCATTTAATAACACTCCAATATTCACACATATTCACACAATAACTGCAGACCTATAAAGAAAAAAATTATTCAGAGTACTCACTTAAAATGTCATCTATATTTCCACTATCTAGACTTGTTATTTCACTTCTTGCTGGACTAAAAAGCCAAGACACCTAAAAAGAGAAAGTATATCAGTAACGTATGGAAAGTTTCAGCAATAATATAATAACTCATATATGATTCTTAAGAGTTCCAGTTCAAAAGCTGGCAAAGAACAGTAAAAGAACTGTAATTCAGTCCACGCATTTCAGATGACAGCAGTACTACAAATATACAAATAAACTATTTACAGATATAACATACTCTCACATTTAAAGCAAAATTAGCTATCTCTTAATATAATTCCCTATTATGTAGGCAGAAATGTTACAGGTAAATTTTGCACCTTTAAGAACAACATATTCAATAAGTTCACCCCATTTTTGCCACCTAACAACCTCACACAGCCCAGAAGTGCATGGGCTTGGAGTTGCACACTCAGTAATTGCCCCTGCCACTTACAGGGCTTGTCTGGCTAAAAAGTTCCACATTAAGTAAAGCCTCAGTTGCCTACAATTTTATTGATGTTTTAGGAAACAGTTTCAGTATATATAACTCAACTAGCTACAGTCTTATCTCCTGTATTTTTACTTGACACGGCTTCAGTCCCAGCATGCAGTAGTCATATCAGACTATAAAAACTGAGGTACCACATCAGCCAAATAATTCAATTACAAAGCAGCATATGTATTACTCTTAATGCAGCTTTCACAGCAATACACAGTTTTATTGAAGAGCACTCTCATATTCACTGCAATAGGCCCAGTTATTTTTGTCTCAAAATATGGTGAGGGAAAAAGAAAAAAGATTTGCTGTTCTATCCTAGATGAAAGAGGTATCAGTGAATTACAACTTATTTTTGCTTTGAGAGAGATAAGCATGCACATTTTTGAGTGGAACAACACAGATTCTGGTCTGGGACATAAATGTTTCCATCCTGAGCAACCTGGTCAGAAAGTCATCACTTCTCTAAGCAGGGCCAAGGCTTGAACCAGATGCTCTGCTGTGATGCCTTCCAGCTTCTGTTTTCAATCGATGTATGGTTCCTCAGGTGACAGAGATAACAAGAAAGGAAAAGGAAGGTTTTTGGTAGGGAACTGACAGGAAGGTACAGGTCAAGGAGTCAGGCAGAGACCACAGATCCCCAGTGACACCTGTGAGGAATTAACCCTCGCCCTGAGATGTGGCAGCACACAACATACACACTATCCATGTTCCTGGAGACTGTTTAATCGTTGCAGCTGCAAAGAAAATCTGCTTCTGGCTAACGAGGCATAGCTGACAAAAGGCACCAAGGAAAAACATAGCTAGAAGTATAAAGACCATCCAAATAAAAACACATGAAGCAGCTGGATACAAGGAAACAATTATACAAGGATCTCTGTATTTATGGAAGAGCCTGAGACCTATCCTGAACCTGTGCTAGAACCATGACTACAAAGAGCAAGCCTCCAGGGTATGCCTGCTTTTGACACTGTTTACAATTCATCAAAAGACTCACGCAATGTCACACATCAAGCTTCCTAACAATTGTTGCAAGTGTATATCAAATATTTGCCTCAAAAAAAAAAAGCCAAACTGGATCCCTGACTTTCATAAGATCAGCATCAAAAATGGTGAGAAACTTCTGCAGCAAGACATTAGCTCTCAAACTATCACTGTAAATGGTACACAGGTGAGATCTGCAGCAATCATTTTCAATTCCTTCTCATTCCTTCTTTTGTATTTCCCATATACAGGCGCCCCAGGGTAGCATATACATTCCATCTTACACTACAGGCTGAAAAACACAGCAGCTGTTGCAATAAAAATATATACCAGTGCTTCTCACTTGGTAAGTGAACAAGATATTAATCTTAAATGCAAGTCTCAGATTTGTGGTGGAATTTGCACAGTCTTGCTGTGGCACTTTAACAGCCTGCAACGAGCATCTGAACTGTGGCTTCAAGATGACTGGAGAGAAACAAAACTTATGGCTGAGCTGTGAGGTCCACAGATGAAACAGACAGCGTAACAACTCAATTTACCAAAAAAAAAATCTGATTAAGCAAGCTATGCAATGCACAAGTTGCAGCAGGCCAGTATTAGGGAAGTTCCTTTGAAGACACTGGCATTGCTGACTACTGAGCAGCAAAGAGGTAGGACTCTGCCTTCAGTCTTTGCAGGGGGATGCTACACATATAGACCCACATCCACATTGGCCAAATCATCCCTAGAGAGGTAATAGCTGATGGCAACCATCAGTGCAGACACCTCTGCATCACCCCTGGGGTGGTTCATGGGATGACAACTTCCATGGTGTTGCTATGGGGAGGTGCTGGTAGTAGTAGTAATATTTGTAGTGAAAAATGGGTCAAGTCAGCATGTGCATGAGGTGGTGCAGTTTTTGTTTGTACCCACATGCTGTTTTATCGCAAATGTTAGGACAGACCTAACTTGTGCACAATTAAAGCAGTAGCTACGATTAACAAAACCAGTTGGAATATTGCTCAAGGTAATAAAGGATAACTCAACATTAATTTTGTTGGTCATCATCTGATCCTCCCACAGGTGACTGCAAACTCAGTGTTCCAAGGCTTCAGCTGCCCTGCAAGGCCTCAAGAACCTCTAATCACCTTGAAGACCACAGAGTTACTTATCCTGCTTATAATAACCTTGAACAATGCTTTTTAACACAGAAAATCCACAAAAGCCTCTAGAAAGTAAGAACTTAACTGTTACACACAGCTCTGCATCACCATTCACACTCAAAACAAACTTCCACAGTAGGTCTTGGTGAAACTATTTTCACAGGAGCTCAGCGTTTTGTGTTGTCTAAACACATCGAACAGGTAAGATATCAATTTCTTAAATCCACATAGCTTTTTCTAGAATAGCTTTCCAACAGCAACACAAATCTTATCTAATAGGATAAATTACACATAAATTAAACACAACGTAGATAAGCACATTATTTGCAGTCGGGAACAGGCTACATTACTTAGCAGATACACTTAAACGGATCAGGAACTGTAGTCGCATTTGTAGATTGCTACAATACACTTAACTTGCAATGCAAATATTTAACTGCACCATGAAAGCACACCACGTACTAACCAATAAGATCCTCTGCTAGGCTGTGCTATGTGCAGAAAAAAGGAATCAAAACTATTACTTCTTTATAGCACAAAAAAGTTTGTGATTCCTTTCTTAACTCTTACCGTGGAAACCTGTGGTGCAAACTGCATGTTTCAATATATGTGTTTCATATATTGAAAGTGAAAAAGGAATTAAGCCATATCTCTTATTGCCCTTTTATATTACAGTAGTGCAATAGGTCTGAGACTAAGAGCCTTCTTTCCCCAAAAGTTGCATAAAATCTGAGATAAGTGAAATACTTTTTCCACTAGAAGTATGAAAATTTCTGTATGTCAAAGATATTCACAACCATGTTCTCAAATGTTTTATACTGACTAAATCATAGTGGGTGCCAAATTCTTCATAATAAGTTGATAGTCTCAGGGAAAAAAGCATTCCTTGAAGAAATGTCAATAAATATGCAAGACACACTTCAGCAGAAGCTTTCATTAAGGTGTAATGCCTGTAAGGAAGAAAGCACATCCTTTTGACCCAGTAATCTTGCTGTTCCATGAGATGCAAGAGGGTTTATGATATTACTAGTATTAATATTTAACATGAAGAAATACAAATTCGTATTTAAATTGCTAAGAAGCTACACTGTTTTGAGAATATTTTCTGACCTTTTTCAGGCCTGTGCTTCATATCCGTGGGCAGAAAACAAGACATTTTGAGGAAATAATTTCTGAATATCAGCAACACACTTTATAAAACAGGTATTAAACACATGTTCTGAAAAATATACTGGTTAAAAAATATCTTCAGGATTTTTTACTTTTAAATGCAAACTTTGCATTCCACTAGTGTATAGTGGAAGGACACAGGGATGACTCTTCATGTTTGAGAATTATTTTTTTTCTTTAGTTACAAACTAAACTCCCAAGATAGCTACACTGAAGAAAGCATCTTGAAAAAATAATTTGAAAGGAAAATTGGTTATGTAAGTACACCTGAAACAACTCAGGTTGCTGCCTTTACATTGGATAAAATTAGCCATGTATATATATATATATACACATGTATATATATATAAAAATATAAGATATATATTTCTATTTTTAAATGTTTAAACTATGAAAATCTGAAGGTAAGACTAAGTAGCTATGAAATAAAAAGATTTTAAAAAATAAAGACAGAGTAGGATATTAAAATATTAAATACTTGAATGAAACTACAGAAGTTATATTACCGTGTTTATAATCTACTCACAATCATTTAACACTACAGAAAAACGACAAGCTAAACTATGCACTAAAACAAACGAATGCAGAAAGCTGCACTTACAGAATGCATTGCTGGAGGGAAAAAGTCAGGAACTGAACAATGCATTCACAAAGATAGAATTTAGCTTATGGGGGGAGGGAAGAAGAGGAGATGACACGTGTATTTTTACTCTTCTGGTCCTCAGAAACACTGTCAAATAAAGCATGAACATCACAGTTCAGGTTCCTGGAAGCTTCTGAAGGTAACACTGGTCATTTTTTTACTGGGAAGTTTAATTAATACAGAAATGTTAGTATTCTGATTAAATTTTGATCCTCACGAACTTAGCCATCACTTAGCCACTTATGCCTGGAGCCAGTACCAGTCACTTCTGAGGAGTAACTACAAATTATCTGAGATTTATTCAGATTGTTTCTAGTGAAAGACCTGAAAGCCATTATCATCCTTGTCTGACACACGCAATGCCACACAAGCAGCCCTACACAACATAAAATGCTTGGACAAAACCTACTCAACTGACCCCCAGCAACAAACCTCTGCCAGGTTTCATATCCCTTTCCCAAAGAGGAAATAAATGCCCACCCAGTTTCAACTCACCTTCTGCTGACCCTGTTGCTGTTCAACTGTAAAGCCCACTGGTTATTCAGGAGATTTAGATCAACCTTTTATTAACATTTTACTCTTACCAGTTAGTGCTGTTCTTTAATTGCTAACTGGACAGAAGAGACAGGCCTATAGGTTTAGTGGTATTTCTTTTTCAAGTTTATTGTAGTTTACATACCACTTTCTGGCCGAAAAGTTTAACAGTTTAAATGTTCATAATCTTAAAACTACAAGAAAAGGAAAACAAAACGGGTCTGTTTAATTTTAGTTCTTCATGTCTTTATTTTTTAACGCACATAATAAAACAGAGGTCCTCATTTCCAAAGCAAACTATCTGAAGAATACAGAAAATTTCTTCTTGGAGCATCATGATTTCTAATTAGTACTACACCTGCAAGGCAGTCAACAAGAACAACCTTCATTTTCAGTTGCTAGACTTTCTATTTACCTTTTCTTCCTGCTGGGAAATCCTAAAGGCACACAACTAAACTGTCTTTCTCCTCTAACACAAAATCATTTTACATTCTCCAGCCAGCTCTAGCCCACATCTAATCCAGACTGACATGCTGAAGTTACTACCTGAAGTCCAAGCCCCATAGGACTCTGCGGCTGACTTCCAGTTCCTGAGTACCTCTTTCTTCATGCATGCCACTAATCTGCTGCTACTCTGAGGTCTGCATTAAACTCCTGGACAACAGGAAGCAGACGAGTTTACAGCCTGCTGTAGGATGATACAAATTGAAAGCAATCCCAGGAGGCAGCAATGCCAAAGCTGGCAGACATTGTAAGAGCCCTGAATTTTGGCTTCAGAACCATCAATCAGGAGCATCTCGCTGGCAGCATTCCCAGAAGCCCTATAATGAAGCACAAAGTTCAGAGCAGAGAGAGAGAGAACAGTAAATAGAAAATGGTGGGGTAAAACAAAAAAAGAACATTATTCACCCCCTCAGTGAGAACAGTTCAACTCTTAATTGTCACCACTTGATTCCAGGATGTGCCCAAACATTTTCATAACTTTGACTGCTGCCATCACCATTGATTATGCAGGGTTTTCATTAGTAATGTAAGCTGCTTTCATTATGGGACTATGAGACAAAGTTCAAAACACTAACACAAAGTTCAAAACACTAACAATAACTAAGTTATTAGTTCAAAACACTAACAATCACTTCTGACTTACAGTTGTTTTCAGAGCAATGTTTAAATGGGCAACAAAAAATCATTTTCCTATTATTCTTCACTCAAGAGTCATATCTTTAATCAGGGAAATGTAAAATGCTCAAGGGAAGCTACTTAAAATAGATTTAAAGAGTGCAGTTACTAACTTCCATGAGAACAAAATCTAACTAAACTGAAATACAGATAATATATATATTAGAAAAGTAAACTCACTTCTTTAGCCTTGATAGACAATTCACTTTTATACTGACTTAGCCAAGCAGTGCTATAACTGCACAGAACTAGGTAGAGACCACCATATTAAAAAGAGGTAATGTGATTTTTTCCTCTATATATCTTGTCATCTACTCCCATTTTAAGTGTCTGGAAGGAATATTTGGTGTAACTACATGTCTTATTAATAATAAAGAACTTTTTTCCCAATGAAAATATTGGGGGAAAAAAAAAAAAATCACAATTCATAACAGTATCCTTGAAAATCCAAATTATATTGATTTGACACTTCAAATCAGGAAAAAGAACTCACAGCCAATGTTCCTACAACTGAATTTAGCAAACGAGGAGTTGCAGGACTCTCATGTACAACTGGGAATGATTCATAGCCACAGAGATCTCTCAACAGCCTGAAGCACTGAAGAGTACCAGAAAAATGGGTAAATTAACCTCTCAACAGTTTGTGAACTATTATTAGAAGACACAAGATGTTCATTCAGAAAGTCCACTGCAGAGATGAAAATTAAACCTCAGTATCAAAAAGTACAGTCCAATGCACTGCGATTTTTCCATAAAGCTATTAGTAGCAGAATCATGCAACCAAACACAATCCTAAAGCTTAAGTCTCTAGGCACAAACCTATGGATCACTGTCTTTTATAGAAATGTTTAAGTCAGGGCTCAAAAAAATGACATGAGGCGTGTCTAAAAAAGTGTTACAGAGGTAAGACCTGTAATTTATTTTCAGTTGAACTATTTGTAATTTTCAGTTATTTCTCTTGGCCTGGAGGGAAAAGGGCAATCCCCAGTCAGGGTCATAAAACACTGGTTCCCTTGTCTTAAACATCCACTTTGAGGTAACACAGTCCATACACCTATAAAAGATGTAAACAGATGTCTGAACAACTTCATGAATGATGTTCAGAGTACTCCACATACTCAGAAATAGGAATCTACCTTAAAGCCTGTTTCACAGCTTAAAGCCATGAATTCTGCTCCACAGGGAACTCTGAATCTTTAGATATTTTACGTACCAAGCTTCATCTTTTACACAAGCAGCTAGAACTTCCCTGAAAGAAAAAGTCTGATTCGCACAGCTTTTTAGGAAAAAACACAATCTCATGTTCTGACAACCTTTTCTTTCCCATATCTACCAACTTCTCTGATTATTTGGCAACAAAGATAAACTTTCAAGAAGCACATAAAATACAAATGCAATCTCCAAAATGATTAGCACAAATTAAGCAGCTGTTGCTGTATATGAAAGCCAGCACCCTCAGGGTTCTCAACTAGTTAAAGCATGACCCAGCAACACGAAATACAGGGCAGCTTGGTCTTGTCAAGACTCTGGTAAGGCCAGCAGAGCAGAATAGTTTGCTGCCCCTTTTCAGTAAGCCAAGGAAATATGCCCTGTTCTCTATTTTGGCCATTGCTACTACATGTAAAACCCAATACCAAAAACATTCGCTGTAGACCTTGGAGACTGTACTTGTAACTCCATTCCTCACGTCACAGATCATGTAACCCTGTATGCAAATCATTTCTCAATATCCTCTCTGCATTTTAAGATAAGTCAAAGCCATTTTTGCACTTGAAATATTTTGGAAATTATTTTGATGTGTAACAGTAGAGAAGAAATTGTGAGTCCTTTCATATAGTCGAGTCTAAATAGAAGGTTTATTAGGAACTGTGTTTTGAGAGCCACGTGTATCATTACAGAAAGCAACATACTACCCTGTTATTCATTATGATCTTGTACAGTCTTTCCTGTGCCCTTCATTATAGTCTTTACATGCAGGGCCATTGCAGAACAAGGAATTAGATTTTTTTTTTAATAACATAAATAGATGTATATTTTCTTCATTCTTGGACTGGTGATGAAAATGCATATTAAAATGAAACAAAAGCTTCTATGGCATTCTGTGGAAGGAGTGGCCACAGAATTCAGAATCTCTCCTTTAAAGCATAATCTTAGAGGAGGGAACCAAAGGCAGATGTAGTGTTTCCACAACAACCCATATTCTCTTTGTCATGTGAATATTTGCTAGCTTGGAATAATCTGAAGGACTGAACATATTAGTGGATAACTGAATTTTCCACACTTGCTGCCTACACACATTCTACTGCTTCAAAAATAACACAATTTCTGCTTTGGTAGATTCCAATACATACTGAGTTTATTCTCCAACAAAACAA